CTCCCTCCCTCCATCCCTTGAACTTCCTTCCTTTCTCTCCCCCTCTCTCCCTCCCTCCCTTACTTACTTATTTACTTACTTGGTCTCTGTATAGTCTGAGCAGCAATACATTCCATTAAGTTCTTAAAGTTTAACAACTACATGTATCTGCCTTGAATGAAATCCAGCACAGCTATTAATGCTTTGAGAGTCCTCTTTTAAATCCAGCTTTTTAAATCTCTTTTGCAAAACTAATTACCACCCCCTCCCCAAAAAAAGTCCTGGAATTAAAAAAGAAAAAGAAAGAAACCCAACCGCACACACAAAAATGAAAAGATCCCTTTAAAAAGATGGTTGTTAGTCCCTTCTCTTTTATCCTGACAGGGTTTCTGAAAATTTGCAAAAAAAAAAAAAAAGGGGGGGGGGCAGCAAGGCCCAGGTATTCCCCAATGTTCTCTTACAGTCTCAAGACACCAGATAAAGACAATCAACTTGGTCTCCAAGCAAAGAAAGATGCCACTCCTGAATATGTCTGCTGTTTGATTCTACAAGTTCTTGCTTACATCCTCTTACATCCTCTTTAATTTTTGACATGATCTGCACTGCATAAAAGAGACACGAAATTCAGTGGAAAAACTTCCCATGTTTTGTTTTTCAAAAACCTCCCTTATATGTTGCTAAGACCTGTCACATTACCTAGCATTCAAATCTAGTGTGCTCCCTTTCTTTTTTATTTAATTCTGCATAAATGGCCTGGTATTTCTTTTATCTCAGATCTGAGCTTTCCATTTTCTACAGGAGTAATCCTATGGTTTGTAACTGCAGCAACCACTATAACATTATTATAATCCCTTTGTGCACATTATTTTATCTGTACAGGCAGATATGTTCCATCTGCAGATTCATATTTCATGCCACCGTTGAACAGGCCCAGTTAAAAGGAAAGGAATACAAACTCTGATCAATGAAGATCCATTTGTCAATATGTTTTCCTGATGGAGAAAGAAAGAAATGACCTTACATGTGTCAGCCAATAGATCTGTCTAATTTTCTGGTGTTTCAAATCTGTTTAATTTGACCAACTTTAAATGAATCATCTCTTGTGTACATCTATAAAAATATTTTTACCCACCAGGGCTGTCATCTCAGTTAAGAAAGGACCCATCTCTCATTTTTATGCCTATAACTAAGGATTAATAGAAAGCAGAAGTAGCTGGCTTTCTTTCAGATAATTACAGAACTGAGTTACTTGCAGAATATCATAGTCAATAGATCAGTCATTGAGAAGATGCAATATAGACCATGAAAAAGCAGTAACATTCATTTTCTTCCTCCCTGTATTTCAGTGGGGAACAAGAATCTCCTGTCTACATCTCTAAAACTTTCAAGCAGAGACTAGAAACTCAAAAATCCATAGGAGATGCAGAGACTTCAAGCCCAGTTCTAGAAGTCACCAACTCCAATTTTAGAACCTGTTTTCTATCTTAATCTGGAGTTTGAACCAAGTGGAGAGTATGACAAGTATATCTTCCCTTTCCCTCCAAACAGCCGTCTATTTTTATTTTTCTATCCCATCAGTTAGAAGGACTGGAGGATCATATGCAATAGACAGCCTGGGCAAAGGCTTTTTTAGAAATCCTCCAGGAGCAGAGGTGGGGGGGGTGGGATCACAAGAAAAAAAGAAGCACGTTTTCAGAAGGACTGATTGGGTTTCTTTTGTAGCAATTCTCTTTCTTTCTCTAGAATAAAACTGGATAATTGCTCCAGTTGTTTTATCAGGCTTCCTGCCTCGACCCCTCCCTGTTCTGCCTCTGTTGCTTTTCTAATTTTACAGAATCCCCTCTGTTGTTTGCCCCCAAATCAGCTTTTAACATAAGGTCTCTGTCAATGGTAAGGGGAGAATGAAAGATATTCTGCAAAGATTCTTACCTTCCTTCCACGCCTCAAGATTTCACATCCAGATCTGAGAAGGAGTTTGCTAAAAGATGCTCAGAGAGAAAACCCGAACAGCCTTGGGAGAGTTTTCAACTTCCCCTTGGGATCTTTTCTTCAGGGAATGAATCTGAGGAAGGCAACCAAACAAGATCAGAGAAGGGGACATGGTCCTCCCCTTGTCAATGATAGGGAACACCCCATACCTTCTCTTAATGCTTCTCTATCCATTCCCCATCCCCCCACCCCGACAGACAGTGAGGGAACAAAATGGAGACTGGCCATGAGGGACGGAGATAATCCTATGTGTTTCATCAGATTAGAGCAAGAAGGGGAGGAGAGAAGGAGAAAAGAGAAAGGGGGACGTTGAAAGCTGTGGAGATAAAGCAGTGAACACAGCCAGACCACCAATTGGGGGCAAGATGAAAGGGGCAGCAGATGCCAAGCAGCCAAACAGTTTTGGAATAAAGAAGACTCTCTGGATGGATGTGGGAGAGTTTGGGATTCTCTGTACTTAGAAGAGGTTCCAAAGTGGAGTTGAAGGAGCTGCCTGCAGATCAGGTGATGCTGGGACCACACAGGCATCTTTGCCCCTGAAGACACGGAACACAAAGGGACAGCTGCACTTTCAAAGAGGAAGGTCCTGAATTGGTATCCTTGTGAATGGAGGGGAGGCTGGACCTTCCTGTCCCAGCCCTGTCTCCCTAGCCTAATAGGACCTTACCATGACCACAAGGGCTGATCTAGTAACCATGCGAAGCATAAAATGGAGGGATGCCCTGATGGCCACCTTAGGCACACCTCCCATTTTAATTTTAATATTTTTAAAAAATTCAGAGGGCAGGAAGAAGAACTTGATCTTCCAGGTCTTCCAATGATGCTCCCATTGTTGCCGTAATTGAGTCCATCTACCTGCTTACACCCTTTTCTTCTCTTTCATTCCACTTTTCTAAGCATTGCAGTGTAGGAAGAAAAATCCAGGTCCAGTTCCAAGCTGGGAAAAAGGCACTGGAAATAAAAGGGAGGCTGGCTGCTTAGGAGAGAAAGTCCATTTATTGAGGAGCAAAACTAGCAACAGCCTGTGTGGGACAGCTGACAAATTGATTGGATGAGTGGATGGACCTTTATAGGTTTCTGCGGCTTTGAAGTTTGAACTGTTCTGGGGATTGTGCAATGAAGGAGCCTTTATGTCTCTTGCTATTTCAGTGGTGGTGGGTTAATCCTATCATGTCCTAAAAATCATGTCCTGTCCTTCTTAATCCCATCACCCTGGAACTGAAGACGTTTTGTTTAGGAATAGATTGGCCTGGATTTCTTAATGGACACAAAATCTCCACCTCTAAAGATTTCAGGCATCTGCTGGGGGCTGTTTTACTATGCAGTAAACTGGGGCTGCTTTCTCTCTTTAAAAGCATGTTTCTCCATTTCTCCTTTTGTTGCAGAAAATGACAGGCATTAGACTTCTCAGGATACAGGAAAAGTTTATTTGGCAGCCAGGTTCAGAAAGCTAGCCCATGGCTAGCATTGCAAGTTCTGAACAACCTTAATTATCGAAGCATGCATTCTTATACATTCTCAAAAGCATACTTAACACATTTCTTAGTGGTTACCTTGAGGAGAAAGCCTTATAAGGAGATGAGATCTTACTTCTCCTGTTTATGGAGTACGTGTCATTAACGAACTTTAA